CCTTGTTTGTGTGTTATATAGAGCCCTTTGCTAAGTCCGTCAGGACGGATGCAAACCTGAGAGGGGTGACTGTTCCAGGCAGCGGAGGCCTGCAGATCAAAGCCTCCCTGTCCATGGCCAACGTCGATGTTTTCTGCTCGGGTCTGCTGTCAGTGCGCAGATGCATGAGCATCTATGACCAGTTCGAACTGGCCTCAGGTGCCAAGCTAAATTGAGGCAAGAGCGACGCCATGTTCTTTGGGAATTGGGCCGACCAATCCTTCATCCCCTTCACTGTCAGGGCAGATTACCTGAAGGTGCTGGGAATATAGTTCAGAGGGGCCGAGGCGTGCACAACATCTTGGGAGGAGTGCATTGCTAACATGAAGCAGAAACTGGTCTTTCAGGAGCGCTGCTTCCGCTCTATTGCAGGCAAAACCTGTTTATAGATTCATAGAGGTGTACAGCACAGAGATCCTTTTGTCCGACTCCTCCATGTCGACCAGAAATCCTAAGTTAATCTAGTCCCATTTGCCAGCATTTGGCTCATATCCCTCTAAACCCTTCCCATTCATATACCCATCCAAATGCCTCTTAAATGTTGTCATTGTTTCAACCTCCACCACTTCCTCTAGCAGCTTGTTCCACACATACACCATCCTGTGTGTGATAAAGTTGCTCCTTAGGTCGCTTTTAAATCTTCCCCTCTCACCTTAAACCTAAGCTCTCTAATTTTGGACTCGCCCACCCCGGGGAAAAGACTTTGGCTATTAACCCTGTCCATGTCCTCATGATTTTATAAACCTCTATATGGTCACCCTCAGCCTCCGACACTCCAGGGAAAATAGCCCCAGCCTATTCAGCCTCTCCCTACAGCTCAAACCATCCAACCATGGCAACATCTTTTCTGAACCCTTTCAAGTTTCGCAACATCTTTCCTATAGAAGAGAGACCAGAATTGAACACAGTATGCATCAGGTGTGAGGCACTCTCTCTGTTGTATGTGGTGCAGGTCAGGCCCATTCCCCAAAAGTGTGCCGTTACAGTCACCCTAGCAATCTTCCATTTCATCCGTGACTGCAAGGACTCCCTGTATAAGATGCTGGATAAAGGGGGGATAAATGTAATCAATACCGCCCTCATCCTGATGGCTACCCTTGTATAAGGCTGCATCAAGCTGAGCATAGACCCTTAGTAATTGAACACCAAGTGTCACTATGTACTGAGGTTCTATCTGTCCCTGGTGCTGTGAAGGATGGGTCTGGCCTCATTGCCGTGGACCATTCCAAGTAGTTGGACCATTCTGTGTCACCTGTCCTTTGTTGAGAAATTTGCAAAGAAAAACACCTTTGACCGCAAGTCCATCAGTACGTGGTCAGCACATAGCATCGTTGAGACCCTGAGGGAAAAGGAGAGGATGGATCCTGTCTTGTCGTTCCATGAATAGACTGTCAAAGTCATTTGGCAGAATACCTCATCACCAGAGCTTTCCAACAAGCACCAAGACATCTGTTGGCCGATGGTGAGAAGGGCACTACCAGAGATAGCCTTCATGTACGCCCAGAACAAAAACAGAAGTTGCTGGAAAAGTTTAGCAGGTCTGGCAGCATCTGTGAAGGAAAATCAGAGTTAATGGTTCAGGTCTGATGACCCTTCCTTAGAACCATGTGCACTAGGTCATCCTGCATCACTGCATACTGGCCTTGAAGAAGCTGTGGCGGGGTTGAGACTGTCACATATCTCCTGCTAGAATGTGCCTTTGGAAGGAAGTCTGGAGAGAGATGCAGTGGGACATGGGACTCTGTGTTCTCTTGTCTGTTCCCCAGGATGCACACCGAGACAAGCATCAACTGCATTTGGAGGACCATCAACTCGGTGAAAGATGCTCTTTGGTTTTTTCCCAGGGTGGGGTGGGGTCAATTATCAAGGGACACAGATTCAAGGTACACGGTGGGAGGAGATGTTTAATAGAGATGTGTGACGCAATTTTTTCACAGAAAGGGTGGTGAGTACCTGGAACACACTGGCAGAGGAGGTGGTGGAAGCAGACACAATAGCAGCTTTCAAAAAGCACCTGGACGAATACATGAATAGGAAGGGAATAGAGGGATACGGATTCTGTAAGTGAAGACAGTTTTAGTACAGAAGAGCAAAATGCATTGGCGCAGACTTGGAGAGCCAAAGGGCCTGTTCCTCTGCTGTACTGTTCTTTGTACACACATGTGCACACACACATGCACAGACACGCATGCTCATCTATACAGACAGACAGACACGTATGTTCATCTACACATAGACACACACACACAGGCTCAGTGGTTAACACTGCTGCCTCACAGCACCAAGGACCCAAGTTCGATTTCATCCTTGGGTGAACTGTCTGTTTGGAGTTTGCACATTCTCCCCGTGTCCATATGGGTTTCCTCCAGATGTTCCAGTTTCCTCCCACAGTCCAAAGGTGTGCAGTTTAGGGTGGATTGTTCATGCTAAATTGCCCCCGTAGTGTCCAGGCTGTGTAGGTTAGGTGGAGTAACCATGGGAAGTGCAGGGTTACAGGGATAAGACAGGGTGGATGGGTCTGGATGTGATGCTCTCCAGAGGTTCGGTATGGACTCAATAGGCCAAATGACCTGCTTTCACACTGTAGGGATTCTATGATTATATAAGTCACACAGACACACTCACATAGATACTCAGACACATATAGACAAACAGATATACACACACATGCATACACTCAGGCACACACCCTTCCTTCAAAGGCCAATAAGGAAGGGCTATAATATCACAGTGAGAGGCTAGGGGTCCAAAGGGGGATTTGAAGAATTGATTTGCATCCAGAGGGTGGGGGCTGTAATGCACTGCTTGGGAGGGGCGTTGAGGGGGGCATCCTCCCAACTTTTACAAAGTATTTGGACAATCACTTGAAGGGTCAGAACATTCGGGGCTGTTGTCGGTGGGGGGAGGGGGGTAGGCCTAGTGTGGGAAAGTGAGACCTGTGTAGATTTAGAGTATTGACTCAATGGGCCGAAGGGCCTGTTCTGGACTTTACGAATGAGGATTCATTAAGACTGTGCCATAGGTTAACCTCGACAGGCTGAACTGGAATTTCATAGCACTGACATGGGAATAGGAAGAGGAAGTGGGAGGTGGGTAAGAAAGACCAACAGGCAGGAAGCAGAACTGGATAGCACTGGTGGCTTTGCAGAGTCAGTGCTGTCCAACCAAGGCTGGAAATTAGGTCAAGAGCTGAGTGGCTCCAACTGGGCTATCAAACTGGTCTCAGAAAGTAATTATTTCGGTTTGGAAACCAATAAAAATAATCACTCACAAATGCTTTGAGATATAAACAGTTTTATTGATTACATGTGAACTTAAACTATTTCATATTTCATGCAGTTTGTTTCTAGAGAGGGAAAGCTTATTCTTGTGCAGTTCCTGAAATAATGCCTTAAACGATACTGTACAATTTAATTTCACTGTATCTATGCCTCAAATAATGTTCAACACTTGAAAATAGAATGGTAAAGCACACAAAATGTTTAGACCAGTACATTATCTCAACAGTGAGAGGTTACGAAGTTCTGAGGTGCAGAGGGATCTGAGGTGACTCAGTCCGTGAATCCCAGAAGATTAGTCTGTAGGGACAGCAAGGAATCAGTGAAGCTGGTAGGCTGTTGTGGTTTATTGTGAGGGGGATTGAATATAAGAGTTGGGAGATTATGCTTCAGTTCTGCAGTTCATCTGTGTTTCTGCATCCGGAGTACAGTACTGCTTCCCATCCTGACAGAAGGATGTTAATGCCGGGGAAACAGTTCAGATAAGGTTTACCAGATTAATTCCTGGAATAATGAGGAAAAGGCTATACAGGCCAGGCCCCTATATCCTCTGGAGTTTCGAAGATTTGGAGGCAACTGAATCGGAGCGGATAAGGTGGGATTTGGAGAGGCTGTTTCCCCTTCTGCATGGGAGAGTCTGGGACCAGAGGAACATCGTCTCACAGTAAGGGGGAAGACAGAGATGGGGACGAATTTCTTCTGTCCGAGTGGGAGCAAATCTGTGGACTTCTTTCTTGCAGAGGCTGGGTCATTGAGTGTATTGAAGGCTGAGAGTTTTAGTCAGGAAGGGGGAATCGAGAGGGATGGAGTTGAAGAACCCTGCCTGTGTTCTTTTTCGTAAAAACATGATTGAATCCAAATTCTAGAACCGATTGAATACAGCCTTGATGGGAGACAAAGAGGCAAATGTGAGCTTGGGATTTGGAGGTGTTTGGAAAGGCAAACCAGGGCAGGACTTATACACTTAATGCTAAGGTCCTGGGGAGTGTTGCCGAACAAAGAGGTGTTGGAGTGCAGGTTCATAGTTCCTTGAACGTGGAGTCCCAACAGAGTAATGAAGAAGGCGTTTGGTACGCTTGCCTTTATTGGTCAGTGCATTGAGTATAAGTCTTGGTAGGTCATGTTGCAGCTACACAGGACATTGGTTAGGCCACTTTCGGAATACGGCGTTAAATTCCAGTCTACCTGCTATAGAAGACATTTTGTCAAACTTGAAAGGGTTCAGAAAAGATTTACAAGGAATTTGGAGGGTTTGAGCTATAGGGAAAGGCTGAATAGGAAGGGACTATTTTACCTGGCGTGTCAGAGGCTTAGGGGTGACCTTATACAAGTTTATAAAATCATGAGGGGCATGGATAGGGTGAATAGCCAAGGTCTTTTCTCCCACAGGGTACAGGAGTTCAAAACTAGGTGAGAGAGGAAAGATTTAAAAGGGACCTAAGGGACAGCTTTTTCATGCAGAGGTTGGTGTGTGTATGGAATGAGCTGACAGAGGAAGTGGTGGAGCTGGGTACAATTACAACATTTAAAAGCATCTGGCTGGGTACATGAATAAGAAGGATTTGGGCCAAATGCTGGCAAATGGGGCTAAAGTAATTTAAGATAACTGGTCGGCATGGCCGAGTTGGGCCGAAGAATCTGTTTCCATGCTGTACGTCTCTATGACTCTAAACAGGACTAGATTAATTTAGGATATCTGGTCAGCATGGACAAGTTAGACCAAAGGATCTGTTTCCGTACTGTACATCTCTATGACTCTATGAGACAGAAAGCTAGGTTCCAGATTAATGCCATCGACATTTCGGGAATTTCATTGTCTCGAAAGAGAAATTCACAAGGAAGGCAAAACTAAAGAGGAAAACAGCATTCATAATGAATGGGAGGCGAGGGCCAGTGGCTTGGCAAGTGGATTCTGATCAGTGGGGGTGGTTGTTTTGGTGGAGGACACACCAGCTGCCGACGACCTACAGTTAACCTCCGAGCTTTCCCTCAACCTTCAAACCTTGCTGAATGGTTGAGGGCTTAATTCCGCTCTCCCCCCCGCCACTGCAATGGAACAACCAGAGAAAGGGCTACTGCCTTCACACCTGTCTGGAGGCAGTGCTCAGAGAGGTGTCCCACATTCACGTAGCCACCTCAGCACTCCTAGCCTGTGCAGCTCTCAGCAGAGGTGGGATAGAATCTCACAGTTGCATCCTCAGGGAATTGACCAACACACAAGAGAAGCAGGGTAAGCTATTGCAAGCTGAGATCCTTCAGTGCTTAAGACCCAATGTCTGTGTTGTAGACCGGATTGATAATATCCAACTGGTCGGCATGTCCCGCCAATCTGAAATGACCTTGAGAGGACAGAACATAAAGAATAATGAAATTCGCTTGAGATAAGTCAAATACTGATCCCCAAACTAGCTCCATCATTAATACAAACTGAAAGAACTGCGGATCCTGTAAATCAGGAACAAACACAGAAATTGCTGGAAAAGGTCAGCAGGTCTGGCAGCATCTGTGAAGAAAAAATCAGAGATGTTTTGGGTCCGGTGACCTTCTGAGGAAGGGTCACCAGACCTGAAACGTTAACTCTGAATGGTGGTAGTTTAGGAAAAGGTGAGCTGCAATGAGACCTGGGTGTCATGGTGGAACAGTCGCTGAAGGGTGGCATGCAGGTGCAGCAGGCAGTGAGGAAAGCTAAGGGCATGCTGGCCTTCGTAGCGAGAGGATTGGTGTATAGGAGTAGGGACATCTTGCTGCAGTTATACAGGGCCTTCGTGAGACCACACCTTGATAATTCTGTGCAGGTTTGGTCTCCTAGTCTGAGGAAGGACATTCTTGCTATTGAGGGAGTCCAGCAAAGGTTCACCAGACTGATTCCCAGGATGGCAGGACTGACATACAAGGAAAGACTGGATCGACTGGGCTTGTACTCGCTGGAATTTACAAGAGTGAGGGGGAATCTCATAGAAACATATAAAATGCTGATGGGACTGGACAGGCTAGATGTGGGAAGAACGTTCCTGATGTTGGGGAACTAGGGGTCATAGACTAGAAATAATGGGGAAACCATTCAGGACTGAGATGAGGAAGAATTTCTTCATTCAGAGTTATGAACCTAAGGTTTTTGAGAAGATTTGTAGCTCAGGTTGTGGATGAGGTTGTAGACTTCCTCGCTGAGCCAGTGGTTTGGTTGCAGATGTTTCATTACCCTGCTAGGTAACATTGTCAGTGCGCCTCCGGTGAAGTGTTGGTGTTCAGTCCCGCTGGTTATTTATATTCCTCAGTTTGCTGGGCTGGTTGGCATCACTTCTGGTGCTGTTTCTCAGTGGTTTGTATATCGGGTCCAGTTCAATGTATTTGTTGACGGAGTTCCGGTTGGAATGCCAGGCCTTCGGGAATTCCCTGGCATGTCTCTGCTGGCTTGTGCTATTATGGATGTGTTATCCCAGTCGAATTTGTGTCCTTCTTTGTCCGTGTGTATTGAGACCAGTGAGAATTGGTTGTGTCTCTTAGTGGCTAGTTGGTATTCGTGTATACTTATTGCCAGTTTTCTTCCAGTTTGGCCTATGTAATGTTTCTCACAGTCCTTGCATGGTATTTTGTTTATTTACATTAGTTTTATTGGTTGTGGGTATGGGATCTTTAATGCTCGTCAGTAACTGTCGTAGGGTGGTTGTTGGTTTGTGGTCTACCCTGATACCTAGGGGTCTGAGTAGTCTTGTGGTCATCTCTGATAGGTCCCTGATGTATGGTAGGGTGACTAGTGTGTCTGGCCATGATACATACAAACCACTGAGAAACAACCGGAAATTATGCCAACCACCCCTGCAAACCAAGGCATATAAATAACGCGGGACAGAACACGAACACTTCACCGGAGACGCACTGACAATGTTACCTAGCAGGGTGATGAAACGTCTGCAACCAAACACACTGGCTCGGTGAGCAAGTGTGTGAGTTACGAACCTGTGGAATTCTCTCCCACAGGAAGTTATTGGGGGGGGCCAGTTTGTTAGATATATTCAAGAGGGAGCTGGTCATGGTCCTTGCAGCTAAAGGGATTGATGGGGTATGGAGAGAGAGGAGTTGGGAGACTGAAATTGCATGACCTTGTTGAACAGTGGTGCAGGCTCGAAGGGCTGAATGGCCTACTCCTGCATCTATTTTCTATGTTAACTCCGACACCCCCAGGAGGCACCACAATCAAGCTCATCAGCCAAGTCTCGAGATCCACTGTGCATTGTGTAATCCAGTGATAAACCTGTGTTGATGACAGGATTCAGCTCCACACATGTCCCCGTGACTTGAGTCTTTCTCACAGTTGAAGCTTCAAATGAATCAGTTCTCATTTCCATGAATGTACAGGAGCAGTGGGTGGTGAGGAAGACAAATGGGATGTTGGCCTTCATAGTGAGAGGATTCGAGTCCGTGAGCAGGGATGTCTCGCTGTGATTGTTTGGGGGTGAGACTGTCCCCTGGAGTATCATGTGCATGATTTGGGGGTCTCCGTATCTGAGGAAGGACATTCTGGAGGGACCGCAGTGAAGGTTTCCGAGACTGACTCCTGGGATGACAGACGAAGAGAGACTGAAGAGGGTTAGGATTATATTCACTGGAGTTTAGAAGAATGAGGGGTTGGAATCTCATAGAAAATTCTAACAGGGATAAAAGCAGGAAGGATGTTCCTGATGACCCCAGGGGAGTCCAGAATCAGTCTAAAGGAGATAGGGAAGGACTGAGATGAGGTCTTCACCTCGAGAGTGGAGGAGCCTGTGAAATTCTCTGCCACAGAAAGTGGTTGGGGACAGAACATTGAATGTCGTTCAGGAAGGAGTTAGATGGAGTTCTTAGGGGCTAAAGCAGGTGGAACAGGGGACTGAGCTGGACAATCCTATTGAACAGAGGGAGCAATTCAGAAGGGCCGATTGGCCTACTCCTGTTAACTTTCTACGTTGCTATGACTCCACGAGACAAAATCATCACTTTACCTTGGGTCTTCTTGTTTCGGCTTCGGACTGCGATGATAAGTATGAGAACCACTGCCAACAAGGCTACACCGATCACATAAGAATATCGTGTTAGCACTTGGCTCAAAGTCGGGTCCCTGAAATCTGGATTGGACAAAGACATTTCGGTAACTCTTTCCATTTGCCTCCTCTACCTATGAATTGACTCCAAACTTGCACCACACGCAATTGGTTAAATCAACACGCGACATTTCGATTTTAGAGGCAGGTTGGCACTGAAATTTCACAAGATGCTTGTTAGACCGCAGCTGGAGTAACACTTGCAGTTGTGGGCCCCACATTGTAGGGAAGATGTCAATGCATTGGAAAGAGGAACCCTGTCCCTCGTTGCCTCTTTGAGAAGGTGAGCTGCCTTCTTGAACCACTGCAGGCCACATGCTGTAGGTAGACTTACCATGCCCTTCGGGTGGAATTCCAGGATTTTGACACTGAAGGAATGGCTGATATATTTCCAAGTTGGGATGGGGTATGGCTGGGAGTGGAACTTGCAGGGGGTAGTGTCCCCATGTATCTGCTGCCCTTGTCCTTCTATATGGAAGAGGTCATGGGTTTGGAACGTGCTGCCTGAGGATCTTTGCTGCGACTGAGTATCGGTGGTGGAGGGAGTGTATGTGGTGCCAATCAAGTGGGGACTCCTTTGTCCCTGGGTAGTGTTGAGCTTCTCAAATGTTATTGGAGCTGCACCCATCCAGGCAATGAGGAGTATTCCTTTACACTCCTGACATATGCTTTGTCGATGTTAGAACAGGCTTTGGAGGGGGAGTCAGGAAGCGAGTTACTTGTTCGCAGAATTCCCAGCATCTGACCTTCTCTTGTAGCCAATGTGTTTATGTGGTGACTCTAGTTCAGTTTCTGAACAACGGTAGCCCCAAGGATGTTGATAATTGGGGGATTCAATGATGGTAACACCATTGAATGTCAAGGGGAACGATGATTAGATTCTCTCTCAATGGTAACTCCTAGGATGTTGATAATGGGGGGATTTGGTGATGGTGATACCATCAAATATCAAGGGGGCAATGGTTAGATTCTATCTTATTGGTCATTGCCTGGCATTTGTGTGGCGCAAATGTTACTCGGAACTTGTGAGCCCAAGCCTGGATATTGTCCAGATCTTGTTGCATTTGGACATGGGCTTATTCAGTATCTGAGGACTGGCGAATGATGCTGAACATTGTGCAATCATCAGCGAAGACATAACCGACGGTCGATGCAATATCAGTCGATATTGCAGCTCTGTCAATTTCACAATTCACTCATCAATCTCGCCAACCACCACACTCGATCTAAACGATTTCTCTCCCACCCAATGATTTTGCCTTTTGCACCTTCCTCCTGCCTCACATCACCTTCTCTCCCACTGCTGGGGTGAACCCATTCAACCATTCCAACGGGTACACCTTCCTGCTGGACAGCCAGGTTTTCGCCTCCATCCTACTCACCGCAGACAGTCACCTGCACGCTTTTGCTGGCGATGGACGCCAACACCGTCCCGTTGACCGTCACGTTGTAGCCGCAGGAGTAGCCTCCCGCATCGTCCTGGCTTACATTGGTGATGGTGAAGGTAACGGAACCGTCTCTCTCCCATACTGTCTGATAGTGGGGCAAGGGAGCGGCGTCATCCCTCTGTAGAAAGAATCCTTCACCGGGCTGATCCCCCTCGCCGACGCAGATCATCGAGAGATTCCCTCCAAACCCAACTGCCGCTGACGGCACGGTTATCACCGGCTTCACCACCTCTGAAAGTGAAACGACAGCCGCATCAGTGAGAGAGCATGCGACCGCAAATTCTGACAGCGGGGCTCAACCCCTTCCCAATCCGTGACCAGGACTGACAGAGTCGTCCTTTCCATTTGGCACGGCCAGATAGGAATTTGAAAAGCTCCATAAGGAAGGTTGTTTGTGAGTTTTGGACAATACAGCCATAATTGGTTATAGTTTTGGGAAAGACAGGCAGAATTGGTTGCAGTTTCAGGCAATATGGATGGAATCTGTTACCGTTCCAGACAACAGAATTTGGAACTAGTTATAGTTACAGCCAGGACAGGTGGAATTGGTTAGAGTTTCAGGCAATCACTGGACAAATTCGTGAAGGCATGGATCATTGGAATCATTATCGAACTGGTAAATGACAATGCATTTTCATATATCCCGTAACCTTCTCTGTCTGGCTGAACATCTATGTGAGAGTCAGGTTTCGTCCTCAAACAAGATTGAGCTTAGATTGTAGATATTAATTAGATAGCCTTGTAGCTTATCTGTGTTCTACTAAAGTTGAACCTTAGGTAATAAATTATTAATTTTTTATTTAAGTTACAAGCTTGGTGCCTAAGATCTGTTATTCGTAAAAACAGGTTAGGGACAATTGAGCAATCTGGGGGGCCATTCAATGTTGTAATTTCACTGTGTTGCATCTCCAGTGATAGGGAGACTGATTTGGTTTAGCTTGTTATCACATGTTGGAACTAATTTGATTGCCTTGTAGTTTATCTGTGTTCTGCTGAAGTTGCACTCTACATAATAAATTGTTAATTTTTGTTGAAATCATAAATTGGCGCCCCAGATCTATTATTAGTAAAGAGGGTGTCGTTTGGGGTGGCTCAGTCGTTAGCGCTGCTTCCTCACGGCGCCAGGGACCCGGGTTCGATTCCAGCCTCCATGTGGAGTTTGCACATTCTCCCCATGTTTGCGCAGGTTTCCTCCGGGTTCTCCGGTCTCCTCCCACAGTCCAAAAGGTGGATTGGCCATGCTAAATTGCCCCATAGCATCCAGGGATGTGTAGGTTAGGGTGGATTGACCATATACTGTAGGGATTCCAGTAGTGACTATTGACTGGTTACGACCATAAGACTTATGAAATATACAGATCACTACCTCAGTAGAAATAGGCAGGCAGGTACTGTTACCTTGTACGGTTATTGACACAGCATTGCTAAGACTCGATAACAGTTGTCTCCCGGACACAGTCATCTCACACTGGCAGGTGTAAATCCCTCCGTTTGCTCGGGAGAGATTTCCGATGGAGATGGATGCCATGTGTTGGTCGGGACGTGCCTCCAGCGAACGTAAGAACCCTCCGTCTTTGTAGAATATGAACGATTGGAGCTGGGAATCACTGGGATTGGAGCAGCTCACGGTCGCTGCACTGCCTCTCAGGTACAGGCCGGTCTGATGATCCAGGGAGACGGTCACGGACAGAGTTAACCCTGGAACACCAATGTAAGAGATTGTGAGCTTTCAGCTACAGAAGTACACCATTCAGTCCATTGGGTCTGCTCTGCCGTTCAATGGCTGATCTGATCATCTTCAACTCCATCCCTCTCGATTCCCTCTTCCTGACTAAAACTCTCAGCTTTCAATATACTCAATGACCCAGCCTCTGCAGAAAAGAATTCCACGGATTCACTCCCACCCCTCGGAGAGAAGAAATTTCTCCCAATCGCAGTCTTCCCCCTTATTCTGAGACGATGCACCTCTGGTCCCAGAATCTCCCACACAAAGGGAAACAATCTCCCTCTGCATCTCCCCTCAAATCAAGTTTCTTCAATCCAATCACCTCTCATTCTTCTAAACTCCAATGAGGACAGGCCTGACCTACTCAATCCTCTCCCTTATCAGACAATCCCTCCTTATGCAGGACCAGCCAAGTGAACCTTCGCTGAACTGCCTCCAATGCCCAGTCTATCTTCCCTTAGATACAGGATTCACGGGATGTGGGTGTTGCTGGCTCGGCCGAGCATTCATTGCCCCCTTGAGAAAGTGGGGGTGAGCTGCCTTCTTGAGCCGCTGCAGTCCACATGCTGTAGGTAGACCCACAATGCCCATCGGGGGTGGGGTGGAGTCCAGAATTTTGACACTGAAGGAATGGCCGATATATTTCCAAATTGGGATGGGGTGTGGCTAGGAGTGGAACTTGCAGAAGGTGGCGTTCCCAAGTATCTGCTGCCCTTGTCCTTCTACATGAAAGTGGGTCGTGGGTTTGGAAGGTGCAGTGCATCTTGTAGATGGTACACACTGCTGCTACTGAACATCGGTGGTGGAGGGAGTGGATGTTCGTGGATGTGGTGCCAATCAGGTGGGGGCTGCTTTGTCCCTGGATGGTGTGAGCTTTCTCAAATGTTGTTGGATCTGCACTCCTCCAGGTACGCCGGGACTATTACCTCACATTCCTGACTTGTGCCTTGCCGATGGTTGGACAGGCTTTGGGGGGAAGTCAGGAGGTGAGTTCCCAGACTCTGACCTGCTCTTGTAGCCACTGTATTGATATGGCTGGGTCCAGTTCAGTTTCTGGTCAATGGTAATGCCCAGAATGTTTATAGGGGGGAATTCAGTGATGGTAACACCACTGAACGTCAAGGGGATGATGGTTAGATTCTCCATCAATGATAACCCCCAGGATATTAATAATGGGGGTATTTGGTGACAGTAACACCACTGAATGTCAAGGGGGCAATGCTTAGATTCTCTCTCAATGGTAACCCCCAGGATGTTGGTAGTGGGGGAAATTATGTGATGGTAACACCATTGAATGTCAAAAGGTGGTGGTTAGATTGTCTATTATTGGAGGTGGTCATTTCCTGGCATTTGTGTGGTGTGAATGTTACTTGGCACTTGTCAACCCAAGTCTGAATGTTGTCTAGATCTTGTTGCATTAGAACATGGGCTGCATGGGGGTGTCTGGGTATCTGGGAATTGTGAATGACGCTGAACATTGTGCAAACATCAGCGAACATCCCCATTTCTGGCCTTACGATGGAGGGAAGATCATTGATGAAGCACTTGAAGATGGTTGGGTCTAGGACACTACCCTGAGGAACTCCTGCTGAGATGTCCTGTAGCTGAGATGACTGACCTCCAACAACCATAACCATCTTCCTCTGTGCCAGGTATGACTCTGACCAGCGGAGAGTTTGCCCCCTGATACCCATTGATTCTGATGCCCCTTGATGCCACACTCGGTTGAATGCAGCCTTGATGTCAAGGGTTGTCTCACCTCATTTCTGGAATTCAGCTAGTTTGTCTATGTTTGACCCAAGGCTGAAAATGAGGTCAGGAGCTGAGTGGCCCTGGCAGAGCCAAACTGGACTTTATCAATGAGCCCTCCAACTGTGACCAAGAAATATTAAACTGCTACAACACACTCATTTCAATATTGTTAAACATTTCCGGTAACGTTAACATTGCTGGCCCCAGTCAGCATTTTAGACAGAGGACAGTTAAAAGTCAAATGCATTGATGTTGGGTCTGGAGTCACATGGTGGCCCAGACGAGATAAGCAGGGCAGATTTACCTCCCTGAGGGGTATTAGTAAGCCAGACGGATGTTTACAGGAAACAGCGAGCACACAATGGCATTGAAACTAACTACATTAAGATATCACTCTGCGCTCACACCCAGGACATTAGCCGGGGCTCCTGGATTACTAGGTCAGTGATGTTACCGATTGCCCAGGACTAGTGTCTAACACGTGAAATGCACGTGAAAAAACACAAGCGATATTTTCCTCTTTCATATCTGAGGACAATGAGCAGTGTTACAATCTATAGACAATACAATTGTTAGACCTCAACTGGAGGTCTGCTGGAGTGTTGTGTACAGTTGAGGGAACCACAATTTAGGGAAGGTGTGAACGTATCAGAGAGAGAGAGAGAGAGAGAAAGAGACACAGAGACACAGTGAGAGGGAGTAATAGAAAGAGACAGAGAGAGAGGGAGATAGAGAGGGAGACAGAGCGAGAGGAGGAAACAGAGAGGGAGAGACAGAGATAGATAAAGAGAGAGACAGACAGAAAGAGCTAAAGAGAGACAGAGAGAATGGGACAGAAACAGAGAGGAAGAGAGACACAGAGAGAGAGACAGACAGGCAGGGAGACAAACAGAGAGAGAAACAGAGCCACAGAGAGAGACAGAGCCACAGAGAGAGTGGAGAAGTGATTTACAAGAATGGTCCCAGGGATGAGAAACTCCAGTGATGAGGATCAATTAAAGAAGTTAGGGACTGTTCTCCCTGGGAGAGCAGAAGGCTGAGAGAGGGAGATCACATACAGGTTTTCAAAATCGCGAGCAGCGGGGAGGGTCCGGGACAGAGTTGATAATGAGAAGCTGTTCCCGCTCGGGAAAGGAACAAGAATTGGGGTTGGACGAGGCATAGAATCAAAGTAAACAGAGCGAGGAGGACGTGGGGGAAGTGAGGGGAAAACATTCTCACCCAGCGAGTAGTTAGGGTGTGGCATGTACTGCTTGGAAATGTGCTGGGGGCAGGTTCCATGGAGAGGGGGCATTGGATGGGGGAACTGAATAGAAATGGGATGGGGGAGATTGTAAGTGGCAATAGAACCATTGAAGACACAATGGGCGAAATGGTCTCTTTCCGCCTGCTCCTACGTCAAAGGGAACAGAAATCTCCCAGGAAGCGTTAACATTGCTGACCCAGGCGTAGCTGCTACCCACCTGTCACAATGATGGAGACAGACCGACTAGGAGATGAAGTGACCCAGCGACCCAACACCAGGGTCTTGTAGGAACAAGTGTAGAGCCCTTCGCTGCTGTTGTCGAGGTTCCGAATGGTGTGTCGGAGAGACGGTCGGCCGACTGTGTCCTCCACGATGGAGAGTGAGCCCTTTCGCAGCCGGAATCGAGCCAGGGAGATGCCGCTGGGAAGAACACACTCAATAGTGACCATCTCTCCCTCCAGATAGACAGGGAACGCGGGGCTCAGAGAGATGCTGGGCTCTGTTGGAGGTTCTGAAACAGGAGGGACAAGCAAGATCATTTTTAACCAACTGAGCTCGGAGCTCTTTCGAGAGAGCAGCATACTTCAGGCCCAAAGTGCTGTGATATTTTTCAATAGAGGAACGTTTACGAAGCTTTGATCTACAGTAAGGCCTTTCTCTGTTCCCTAAAGCAACTGTAAGCAAGTGGACAATGTGGACAAGTAGACTAATGGGATACTTGCCTTGATTGGCCGAGATTTGGAGGTTAAGAGCAGGGAGCTGATGCTGGAAGGCAAACCAGGGCAGGACTTTTAATGATAGGGCCCTGGGTAGTGTTGTCAAATAGAGAGATCTTGGAGAGGAATGGTTAATAAGCTTGTCGGTGACACTAAAATTGGTGGTGCAGTGGTCAGTAAAGAAGGTTATCTCAGGATACAATGGGACCTTGATCAGATGGGCCACTGAGAGGCAAATGGAGTTTAATTTAGATTAATGTGAGGTGTTGAACTTTGATTAGGCAAATCAGGGCAGGACTTAATGATAGGGTCCTGCCAAACAAAGAGACCTTGGTGTGCAGGTTCATAGTTCCTTGAAAGTGGCATCACAGGTCAATGGGGTAGTGATGAAGGCAGTCACAGCATTGAGTATAGTAGTTGGGATGTCTTGTTGCGCACACACAGGACATTGGTGAGGCCACTTTTGGAATATGTGCTCGATACTGGCCGCCCTGCTATAGGAAGTATCTTATTAAACTGGAAAGGATGCAAAAAAGAATGTTACTGAGACTGGAAAGGTTTGAGTTACAAGGAGAGACTGGGACTTTTTTCCTGGAGTGTCGGAGGCTAAGGGGTGACCTTATAGAGGTTTAAAAAATCATGAGGGCATAGATAAGGTGAATAGCCAAGGTCTTTTCCCCAGGGTAGGGGAGTCTAAAACTGTACCAACAGATTCAAGAACAGCTTCTTCCTCGCTATTATCAGACTTATGAACAGTCCTCTTATATATTAGAGTTGATCTTTCTCTGCACCTTCTCTGTCATTGTAACACAATATTCTGCATTCTGTTCTGTTACCCATATAAACTCCTATAGACCTAAAGTGCTAAATCTTTCTCCATAAAACAAATCACTCATCTCTGGAATCGATCAAGTGAATATTCTCTGAACTGCCTCCAATACAACTCCATTCCTCCTTAAGTAAGGGAACCAAAATTCTACCCAGTGCTCCAGTGTGAAAAAGCCAATACTTTGTAATGTTACAACAATACTTTAGCTACTCCCTCACTTTTCTCTGAACTGCCTCCAAAACAACTCCATCCCTCCTCAAGTATAGAGAACCAAGACTCCTCACCGTATCCCAGTTGTGTTCTGATAGTGCCTGGTATAGTTTTAGCAAAGACCTTCAGTCTGTTATACACCATTTGCTTCAAAATGAAGGCCGTTTGCCTTCCCCACTGAACTTGGTTAGCTTTTTGTAATTCACAGACGTGGTCTCCCTCACAATCCCTCTGTCCTGTGGCTTTCTGTAGTCTTTCTCCTGTGTAAATAACCTTCCTCTATCTCTTCCTCCTGCCAAAGTGCATCACCTCAAACCTCCCCTCGTTGCATTCCCTCTGTTAGCCCACTCATTGAACCTTGTCTATATCCCACTTTACATCATCCTCAGAACCTGTCTTTCCATCTATTTGGGGACAACTGCAAACTCGCTGATAGTCCATTCACTTTCCTTCATTTGACTCGTTGATATATATTGTAAATAACTGTGATCCCAGCACTGATCCCTGTAGCGCAATGCTAGCTACAGTTTGCCATGCTGAAAAGATCCAGAATTTGGAAATTTTCCATAACCTAACAGAGATTAATGTCTTTTTACACCTGTGGGGTAGTCTGAACGAGAGGGCATCATCTCAGAGATTAAGGGACATCGGTTTAGGACAAAGATAGTCATGGGGTCTTACAGGACTACAGCACAGGCAAAAGCCCTCTAAATCTTTTCTGCACCCTTTCCAGTTTAATAACATTCTTCCTATAGCATGGACATCAGAATTGTACACAGTATTCCAGTTGTGGCCTCATCAATGTCATGTACAGCCACAATCAGACGTCCCTGCTCCTGTACTCAGTGCTCTCACCAATGAAGGCAAGCATACCAAACGTAAGAAATAGGAGCAGGAGGGGGCCATCTGGCCTGTCCAGCCTGCTCTGCATTTCAATAAGATTATGGCTGATCTTTCTCATGGACTCAGGTCCACTTACCCGCCTGTTCACCATAATCTTTAATTCCTTTACTGTTCAAAAATCTATCTTTGCCTTAAAAGCATTCAACAAGGGAGTCTCAGCTGCTTCACTGGGAATTCCACAGATTCACAACCCTTTGGGTGAAGAAGTTCCTCTTCAACTCAGTCCTAAATCTGCTCCGCCTTATTTTGAGGCTATGCCCCCAGTTCTAGTTTTACCCGCCAGTGGAACAAACTTCCCTGCTTCAATCTTAATTATTCCTTTCATAATTTTATCTGTTTCTATAAGATCCCCCCTCATTCTTCGAAATCCCAATGAGTATAGTCCCAGTCAACTCAGTCTCTGCTCATCAGCGAACTCTCTCAACTCTGAAATTGACCTTGTGAACTACCTGTGCATCCCTTCCAGGGCCCAGTACATCCTTTCTCAAGTAAGGAAATTGAAACTGTACACAGTACTCCAGATGTGGCCTCACCCTATACAGCAGCAGCATAACCTCCCTTGGTTTTAGACATGATCCCTCCAGAAATGAAGGACAATATTCCAGCTGCCTTCTTAATAACCTGCAAACCAACTTTTTCTTGTGATTCAAGTCTCCTTCTCCACCTTGTCTACCAACGACTCCACTTTCTAGAATTATGTCCCACTAGGTCTCTCTGTTCTACAACACTCTAACAACCAAGCACAACATTCCTCCTTCTTCTCCCTCACTTCTTCAATACCTGCAATCCAACATTATTTTGCGACTTGCGCTTCCTTCGACGCCCTTTCTCCCCGGTGATGGAAGAGCTGGTGCAGCAGGTTCCGAAGACGGAGACAGGAAAGGTGTCAGAAAGTGACTCACCTACGATCCGGATGGGGACGGAGGGGCTGGCGCGGAAGGTGACCCAGAACCCGGCCACGAGCCTCTGGTACAGGCAGCTGTAGGTCCCGCTGACACCAGCGCTGACGTTACGGTACAGGAAGATGGTGCTGTTCAACCCTGGCTCCAGCCGGTGCTCCTTGACCACGGACGTCCCCCTCAGCATCTGGAAGCAGCCCCCATGGTAACCGCTCGGAGCCATGCACTGGATTCCCAGATGCATCCCGGACACGTGGAGGGGGCCATCTGGATTGATAGCAATGGAGGGTCGGAGCAGTGAACCTGCAGGGGGAGGGGAGGGACATGAAGTCGTCAGCGTTAGCTCGTTGTTCAACCCTCCCACCCGCTATTTGACACTGCGGGACACGTCCGTTATGGTCTCTGCTCCCCCCAGGGGGAGGACAGAGGGCTCTCCCCGCCTCAATGTGTGTCATCAGTTCAAAAAGGGAGAGGGACTGGGGTTATCATGACAGAGGGAGTGTGTGTGAGAGAGAGAGACAGAGGGAGAGGGAGCAAGTGTGAGAGAGGGGGGCAGAGGATGAAATAGGGAGAGAGTGAGGGAGAGAGAGAGGGAGGTAGAGCGAAAAAGAGAGAGAGGGAGGGAGAGAAAGAGAGAGTGGGGTTGGAGGGAGAGATAAAGAGAGAGGGAGGAAGGGAGAGAGAGTTCTTGAGAGAGAAAGAGAGAGAATGTGAGACAGCAATACAGAGAGACAGACAGTCTGTGAGAGAGAAAGAGAGTGTGTGTGAGACCGAGAGACAGTCTGTGTGAGAGAGAGTTGGGAGAGAATGTGACTGAGTGATTGTGAGAGAGAGTGTAAGTATGAGTGTGAGTCTGTGTGTTGTGTTTGTGAGTGTGAGAGTGTGTGTGTGTGCGTGTGTGTATCTGTGTGTATGTGCGAGAGAGAGAGAGAGGGTGTGTGTGTGTGATGGGATGTGAGAGTATGAGACAGTAAACCCCACCCACACACAGCAGCCCGCTCCCCCCACCCCTTTCCCAGACGGCTCCCCATTTCCTGCCTCCCCGTTACTTACTGGGATTACACACCACACTGGCATCTTCCTGGTGCCTGCAGTTCCCTCGGCCCCATCCACTGAACGGACATGACCAGAGGCTCGACTCTGTGCCTCTGCAGGACACTTTGTCCATCCAGACAGCTCCTGTGCCCTGCCCGAACCCAGCCCTGGGCAGCGCAGCCATGGCTGACCCACACCTCAGTTGGTGGCACACCACCCTGGCGTCCGAGATGTCCCAGGAACGACCGCACACTGTCCCCCACTCTCCGCTGTACCACACCTCCACTCTCCCCGAACATGGGTCGCTGCCATTCACCAGTCTGACACGGGGCTCTGTAAGATCGGAGAGAGAGAGGACATTACCGCCGCAGGAGACATAGGGACAGAATGAGGCCAATCAGCCCGCCGCGTCTGCTTCGCCATTGAATGACATCACGGCTGATCTGATCATCAACTGCACTTCTCCCCATCCCCCTCGACTCTCTTTTCTTGATTAAAAATTCTCTCCGTTTCAGCCTTCAATACAGTCAACGACCCAGCCTAGTAGCCCTCTGTGGTAAAGAATTCCACAGATTTCTGTCTGCCACCCACCCCCGCCCACACCAGAGATAAGAAATTCCTCCCTGTCTCTGTCTTGTGCCTTATTCTGAGACAATACCCCTCTGGTCGCAGATTCTCCCATACAAGGGGAAACAACATATCTCCCCATCTCCCCTCAAATCAAGTCGTCTAAGAATCTTCAAT